TTAGACCTTTGCTCAACATGTGCAGCACTATTGGATTAAGTGGCGAGCGACGGCGGCGCCGGGCAATTCAAGGACAATCAATGGCACAGCACGCTCCAGGACGATGCAGCGCGACGAGTCATCCTTCGCTCCTGGACCTTCTGTCCAATTCGGAGTTAGACCGCGTAACAAAAATCCATTAAGGTGACCGTTTTATTTGCTACATTAGCGTGCCACGAGGGGGTGCGACTTGTGCGGATCTTAAATGCCTGCATTTAGACATCTGCCTGCATTTTCGGTGCCCGGTGCCCGGTGCCCAGTGCCCTGCCATTCGAATCTCATGGAGGAACGAGCCGATTGTTGCGCCCTGCTTATGGCTTACTCTACAAAAGTGTTAATTGAGATTGCTTTTGCTTTGCTTTCCCTTTTTTTTGTTTTGCTTTGGCAATTCAAAAGCCATTCAAGCAGAAAGTCGAGACCAGGCGGCGACGCAGATACAGCAGTGGACACAGAAGTCTATCTATAGCTGTGGCAGAACTACTGCTAGACACTTCAAAAGAAGCCAAATGCTGCATGCTAATAGGAAAGGATCAAGGAGGAGCAGCTGCCGCTCTCGAGGCGGCGACCCACGTGCCACATGAGGAATGCCTGAGGAATCCTGGGAATTTTCAATCAATTTTAATTGGCACCGCATCAATACTACGCCGACATGGAGAGTGTTTCGGAAAGGAAATCTAAAATATTTGTGCATAATTTTAATTAGAACATTTTTCTATTTGCGCAATTTATCTTCTTGCCTCTCGAGTGCTCGACATTTTCGGTGTCAGGCAGCAGCGACCGTGTGTGGCAGTGGCAGTGGCAGTGGCAGAGTGTCTGCGTTCCAGTTAGAAACTGGTGGCAATGAGTGTCAAGGCAGTGCCATAAATTATTTTAAACGAGCATATCGAAGATGCCGCTTCCGATTTATTCCCCCGAAAACTCAACATGGAATGGGTGTCCATCGGGGGTATGCCCCCTGCCCCTCACATGTGCATCTTCCGCACTCTCTCTTGTTGGCATTTCAAATATTTTTACGAGCAATGCGATTGGGGGAGTGCCTCCTGCCCCTTGGCTGTGTCCTAGGTAGGGATTTATGTGCGGGACGCGCAATCAGAGGCTCCGCAGATAAATCTCCTGGCCACTCGAGCGAAGGGGCAGCCAATCAAAGTTGCAGCACAAGATGTGGCAGCAAACGAACAGAGACAGGCCCAAAGCTGAGGCTCATTTAAATGCTCGCAGAAGGCAGCAGCAGCAGCAGGCAGCAGGCAGACAGACAGCAGCAGACAGCAGCAGCAGCAGGCAGCAGGCAGACAGACAGCAGCAGACAGACTCAAACTCATTTAAGTTTCGGCCAGAGAGATAGGTGAAAAGGATAAGGACAGTGGGCACAGGACAGTGGACAGTGGACAGTGGACGGTGGACACTGGACTGTGTACGAGCTCTCTCGTCCAGAAATTGTCGCTAAGGGATTGGCAGAGCAGAGCCAACTTTTCGTCCGCCTTAATTGCCAAGTGTCCTTGGCTGGAGTGCAGAAGGGAGCCTTAATTGCCCCAGCCCACTCGAACTGTGCCCTCCCCGACCCTCTCGCTGTCTCTCTCGCAAATGTTTAATTGCCATTTAGTCCTTTTTAATGGACTCCACTGTAGTAGTAGTACTGGCACTGGACCTGGCAGCCCCTGGACGACCCCTGGACCAACCGACAACCGTTCATTAATGGCCACGTCTAGATTTCCGCTCACCTCCTATTCCTATTCCCATTGCCCAATCCCAGTCCCTTTCCAATTCCTTTATCGCACCAGGACTCGCAAGTCTCTCCTGTGCTGTCGATAGACAGCAGCAGAGCAGAGCAGTCGGTCCCAAGATAAACTTGCAAATGTTAGCATTTTAATAGTCACATTTTTGACTTAATATGTCGGGGATATGTCCTGCTTATCTGCCGACCATCTCCTGTGGCCCAATGTGTGTGCGCCCTTTGGGGCATTCTCAGCTCGTTTGTGTTGCATAAATTTGCCCCCAAATTGTTTTGTTGCTGCCACAGACAGAGTTAACGTCCACTGTCCTGCCCGATAAGACGCCGTCGATAGCATGACAATTAGCCCGAAACTACATTTAAAATATTACTCTGGGTCTCTGCGTGGACTACAGGACTCTACGACTTCTTCTCCTTGTCCTGTGGTCCAGCTTTAATTGTTTCTTCGGGGCTCTTGTTGGGCTCTGTTGAAAGCGCAAACACAATTTGATTGCTGATATCTGCCAAATATTGACTATTGGCCTTGAATGTTAAGCAGCGCCCAAGGATTCAAGGGTACAACTGCACTGGCTCTTGGTCCCTTTTCTTTCTCGTAATTTGAATGATTTTGTGTTGGTTTTGTTTAGACTTAAGCTTGAAAATTAACAGTGGAAAGGTATATAAAATAAATCTAAGTAAATCCAACTATCCCTTGTAAGTTTTTCCCTCTTATAAATATATATAAAATATATGGAAACTACCCACCCATCCGCCGTCAGCAGTTCATTTCAACCTACCATCATTGAGTCCTGCCTGCACTTACGTTTAATGAAAAAAAAAGGCAGCATTATTATTAAATTAAACCCTCCCTCCCCCCCATGCACCACTTCTGGATCTTACTTCTCCCCCTCGGCCGCTTATGCCAAGGCATGACATAAACATAAACTTTGCGCCTTTTGTGTGAGATGACGACAACGAGGACGAGGACGAGGATGAGGACGAGGACTCAGCCTTGTGCCCTGTGCCGGCTAAGAGCACAACAGCAACAGCAAACACCTTTAATATTTTCATTATGGAGTCATTCAGCGCGATTATTAACGCGTGACCCCCAAGGCGGTGCACAGCGTCCAGGGTTCATGAGAGAGAAAGTTGCCAGGGTCCACCCTAATGAACGACAACGGCAACAACAAACAGCAGCAGTTCTCGAAACTTTGGTCCACGACTCACGACTCCAGAAGGTAAATTACAATTTTTTGTTGTTTATAAGTGGAGGAGACCCCCTCCCGTCTCAGTACCCGTCTACCAAGTGCAGCTGTACCTAATAATCATAATAATTGCGCCATGGGCGTCGACATCGTCGTCAACTTTGGCCAGACGCCATCGCCCATGGGCCATGGACTCTCTCTCTCCAACAACAATTGCTTATAAAGTGCGTGTGACACATTAACGGGGACAACACAAAAAAAAAACGCGGGAAAAAACCAAAAAGAAAAGCGAGAAAATCGTAGGAAAGCCGAGGAAAAGCGCTCTAAGAAAAAGGCAAATAAAACTCGCGACCAGTGGGCGAACTTCAAAAGAAATAAAAGGAAATCGCGGCTCGCAGGAAGGAGAAGAAAAGTCCCTTAATACCGTGAATTTTCCGCGGGATTTCTATAAAGTGCAGCAGCAGCAGCAGCAGCAGCAGCCGTCGAGA